CCTTCCTTTCCTCCCTCCCTCCCTTCCCTCCACTTCCACTCTTTCCTCCCTCCCTCCCTCCCTCCCTCCCTCATCACTGGAGGTTTTCAAGAAGAGACTGGACAGCCACTTGTCTGAAACGGTCTAGGCCAGTCTCCTGCCTGAGCAGAGGTTTGGACTAGATGACCTCCCGAGGTCCCTTCCAGCTCTGTCCTTCCGTACCCTAAGGTTGTATGTCTTACCCTGAGCTCTCCCGCTCTCCCCAGGGCGCTGGAGCAACATCTACAAGCTCCCCTACAGCTGGATCGGGACCGGCCACGTGGTCTTCCAGGGCTGCTTCTACTACAACCGGGCCTTCACCCGGAACCTCATCAAGTACGACCTGCGCCAGCGCTTCGTGGCCGCCTGGTCCTTCCTGGATGACGTGGTCTACGAGGACGCCACGCCCTGGAAGTGGCGAGGCCACTCCGACATCGACTTGGCCGTGGACGAGAGCGGGCTGTGGGTCACCTACCCGGCCGCGGGCGATGGCTACTCCCCGCAGGAGGTCCTCGTGGTCAGCAAGCTGGACCCCGCCGACCTCTCCACGCAGAAGGAGACCACCTGGAAGACCAGCCTACGGCGCCACGCCTACGGCAACTGCTTCATAGTCTGCGGCATCCTTTACGCCGTGGACGAGGGCCGCGCCAGGGAAGGCCGAGTGATCTACGCCTACGACACTCACACGGCCACGGAAGCCCGCCCCGGGCTGCCCTTCCAGAACGGGTTCGCCTTCACCACCCAGGTGGACTACAACCCGAAGGAGAAAGTCCTGTACGGCTGGGATAACGGCCATCAAGTCACCTACAGGCTGCAGTTCGTGGCCTGAGGATCGGGACCTGCCCCCCAAAAAGCCACGGGCGGGCGCTCTCCGTGGCCGCAGGATGGCCCCGGCCCCGGGAGGGACTTTGATAGAGCGGATTGGACGCAAAAGAGGGGACCAACCTCTCCCTTCGTGAAAGAGCTTCGTGGTGGGAACTTTTGGGGGGCCCCCAACATCTGGCAGGATTTGGGGGGGGGGACAAGCAATTAGGAAGCTCTTTGTGGCAGGCTTTTTTTTTCTCCTCGTGAAGTTTCTTGCCCGTCGGACGCCCCGTGAAAATAATACAGGTAGTCCCCACCTTACAACGGTTCATTTAGCGACCGTCTGAAGACTTAAGTGGCTTATTTCCCACACTTAACGACCGTCGCTGGCCTCCCCGTGGTCACAAAGATCAACATTCAGACGCTTGGCAACGGATTCGTACTTGCGACGGTTGCCGTGTCCCTGGGGTCACGCGATCCCCTTTGGCGACCGTCAGACAAGCGAGGTCCACGGGGGAAGCCGGACCTACCCCTAACTTAATGATTCGTTTAACAACCGTGGCAAGGGAGGTCTTAAAATGGGGGGGAGCTCACTAAACAGCCGTTTCGCTTAGCAACGGAAGTTTTGGGGCTCGATTGTGTCATAACTTAAGGACTGCTTATATGCACTTGCTGCAGCCTAAGAAACAGGCCTGGTTTAACCCCGTTGTCTGAACACACCCCAACGGGACGATTCAGACTGTGGCTTGGTTTTTTTTTTGTGGCGGGGAGTGGTGTGCCGACACAATTACAGGCAACCGCTGAGTTACGGCCACGGCTGAGCCCAAAAGTGATGTCGCTAAGTGAAGCATTGGCTCAGCAAGTTCTGCCCCCTTTTTACGACGTTCCTTGTCACCGTTAAGCGATTCCCTGCATTTGTTAAGTTAGTCATTAAGTGAAGCCGGTGTCCCCGTTGACTTTGCTTGTCACACAGTCGCAGAAGGGGATCCGGGGACACCCCCCAGGGGACACTGCAACCCGTCATAAATCTGAGCCAGTTGCCAAGGCTCTGAGTTTTGAATCGCGTGAGCCCGGAGATGCTGTAACGGTCGTGAAGTGTGAAAAACCGCTCACGAGTCGCCGTAACTTGGAACCGTCACTAAATGAACTGCTGTTAATTTGAGGACTGGCTACATGGGCAAGGGCGTTGCTTGTGCACACAAAAGGGACGAGGGAATTTATGGCCAGTGTTAAACCGGAGCGATTCAGACCGTCCCACGAGGCTGGGTAGACTCAGATCTCTTTTAGAATAGAAGAGAGCTGGAAGGGACCTTGGAGGCCTTCTAGTCCAGCCCCAGAATGGAATGGAATGGAATAGAATAAAGATAATAGAATAGAATAGAATACAATACAATACAATACAATACAATACAATACAATAGAAATAAGGAATAGAATAGAATAGAATAGAATAAGGAATAGGAAATAGAATAGAATAGAATAGAATAGAATAGAATAGAATAAGAAAGAATAGAGTAGAATAGAATAGAATAGAATAGAATAGAATAGAATACAATACAATACAATACAATACAATAGAAATAAGGAATAGAATAGAATATAATATAATAAGGAATAGGAAATAGAATAGAATAGAATAGAATAACAGAGCTGGAAGGGACCTGGGAGGTCTTCTAGTCCAGCCCCCAGCTCGTGCAGGAGAACCTATGCCATTTCAGACAGGGGATTGTCCAGTCTCTTCTTTAAAATCTTTGGGGGGAGTGGGAGAGGAACAGAACAGCTGTTTGCTCCAATTCAGGGGTGGGGGGTTCGAATTTTCCCCCCAGGTGTAAACGTCCCAAATATTTTCTCTTTCTTTCTTGCCGTCTGCTAAGCTCAGCCTTCACGCTGCTTTGGGCGGTCCTGTAAAAATCCTCACTGGGGGATTCTGGGAGTCGGAGTCCCCAAGTCTTTAAAGTGGCCAAGTTTGCAGAGAGCCTTTGGGAGACTGGAGGCGGTGGGGCTCACGGGCGTCTGAAAGTCTGTTTGTTTCGCCCACAAGTTACACAATCTCTTTTGTCGCTTTGTTTGGAAGAAAGTTCACCCACACCCACAAACACCCACACACGATTTTTTTCTCAGGGAAAAGAAAAAGCTGGCCGCTGGTACGGAGGCAGTGCCTGACTCTTAGAGAGAATAGATTAAACTAGACTAGACTAGACTAGACTAGACTAGACTAGACTAGACTAGACTAGACTACACTAGACTAGACTAGACTAGACTAGACTAGACTACACTAGAATAGAATAGAATAGAATAGAAAATAGAACAGAAATTAGAATAGAATAGAATAGAATAGAAAATAGAACAGAAATTAGAATAGAATAGAAAAGAGAATAGAATAGAATAAAAAATAGAACAGAGAATAGAATAGAAAATTAGAATAGAATAGAATAAAAAATAGAACAGAACAGAAAAGAGAATAGAATAGAATAGAAAATAGAATAGAACAGAACAGAAAAGAGAATAGAATAGAAAATTAGAATATAATAGAAAATAGAACAGAAGAAAGAATAGAATAGAATAGAAAATAGAACAGAGAATAGAATAGAATAGAATAGAAAATAGAATAGAGAATAGAACAGAACAGAACAGAGAATAGAATAGAATAGAATGGAATAGAAAACAGAACAGAGAATAGAATAGAATAGAATAGAAAATAGAATAGAGAATAGAACAGAACAGAACAGAGAATAGAATAGAATAGAATGGAATAGAAAACAGAACAGAGAATAGAATAGAATAGAATAGAAAATAGAACAGAACAGAACAGAGAATAGAATAGAAAACAGAGAATAGAATAGAATAGAAAATAGAATAGAGAATAGAACAGAACAGAACAAAGAATAGAACAGAAAATAGAGAATAGAATAGAATAGAAAATAGAATAGAACAGAAGAGAGAATAGAATAGAATAGAAAATAGAACAGAGAACAGAACAGAATAGAAAATAGAGAATAGAATAGAATAGAATAGAGCTGGAAGGGACCTTGGAGGTCTTCTAGTCCAGCCCCCGGCTCAAGCAGGAGAACCATCTCAGACAAGTGACGGATGAGGATCAAGGGGACCAGGGACTGGCCCTTCATCAGAGAGAAATCTGGGCCGGTCCTGGTTAGAAGCTGGTACAAATTGATATTTTAATGGATTTTTCTCATGCAAAGCCAGTATTCCCCCCCCCCTAAATGCTTTTGCCTGGACGGAGGGGGCTCCGTCCAGATGCTGCAGGGGTCACCCCCAAACGGCAGCTGGGAGGCTGGAGAAAAGAGCTGGCCGTGCTTTAATTTTTTCCCTCCCTTTTTGCTACCTTGGATGTCCACATCCTCGCACCTCTGCCCACGAGGACTAGAAACTTGGAAACAGCCGTAGCAGATTTCTTTGCAGGCCAGGCTTCAGTGGGAGGCAAATATTTTCATGTTTTTTAAAAAGTCCTTCCTTCTCTCACCAGTTACCCCCCTTCTTGGGACGGCCAGAGGAATTGGGGTGGGGGCATCCAGCTTTGGCAAAACAGCACTAATCAGTGTGTGTGTTGGGGGGGGGTGTTTGAGAATGAATTTTGTTAAATTAAAAAATAAAACACACAACTGACTTTTCTGTTTTAGGGTCAGCCAAGAACTGCCTGGGTTTTTTTTTTCCCTTTCTTTCTTTGTCCCCCCCCCCAAATCAGGAAGCGACATTTTAGCCTTGGAAAATGTGGGTAAATAAGATTTTGATAAGGAGGGGCGGCAAGGAGAAAGCTGGAAACACACACCCCCATACACACACACCTTCTTTGCCATTGTGGGGCATGACGCAATTTGCATTCCCCGGAGCTCAGTCCCATGAGGCTGAGCGAGCACCTGCTGAGGACCATGGGACCTGGAATTACACTGTGCAGAGTCCGGGGAGGATGGTGGGGGGGGGGGGAAGAGGAAGACAAACTGGGAAAGGCTATTTTGGAGACACCAAGAACGGGGGAGTGGGGGGGGAGAAATACGCCTCATCCTACGACACGGCCTCTGCTCATGAGGACTGGAAACTTGGGAAACGCCCATCGCACATTCCTTGGCAAGCTTCAAGAGCCAGTTGCTCCTTTTCATCCCTCTTTCCTAACTCTGTTTTCTGCTGGGGGGTGGGGGTGGCTTCTCTCCCCCTCCCCAGTCTGGCGAGGGCAATGCCCCCCTCCCTCCCCAAAACCACGAAGGATCTCGGAAGAAAGAACCCAAGTATCTGGATCCAGATGAGGTCATTCCTTCCGGGAAGACAAGCTCGCTTTTGACACACACACACACACCCGGCTGTCGCCCACAACTGGAGGGGGGCACCCTGGAGAAGCTGGCAACCTTTGGCCCGGCGGTCCCATGTTTCACAGCAGCCCTTTGTTCTCTCCGGCCCAGCTGGTGCCAGGGGGTGGGAGAGGGACCCTTGGGAAGTTCCAGCGAGGCACAGCCACCCTTTCGGAGGGCACCCCCAGCCCCGACGGCCCCCCAGTGCTCTCTTGAAGGATGCTCCTCTCCATCCTGCCCAGAAATGAGGGGCTGGTGGGCAAGCAGCCCCCCATCAAGGGCCCGAGGGCCTAGGGCACCCCCCGTCGGGCAAGGACGGCCTTGAGGCTCTCCACGCCCCACAGCTTTGGAAGCTTTCGTTGGGGCTCCTTCGGCGCTGGGTGGTGGCATCTCGCCAAGGGCGAGGCGGGCACGGAGAAGACAAAGCGACACCCCCGGGAACAGCAAGGTCAGCCCTGCAGGGCTGCCCAGCCAAGGGGTGGGATGACTCTCCCCCCCCCCGGGGCAGAAGGCCCGTCAATCGGCATCTTTGTTCTCCTGGCAAAGCGTCCAGCAGATCCGGCGGAGGGCACCGCTCAGATTTTCCTCCGGCACCGTGCCAGCCTCCACGCCCCACCCTTGGTGGACGGGTCAACCGAAATCAAACTCAGCTTGCTGTCCCTGCCCTGGATGCTTGTTTGTCATCAAAGGCAAGCCTGGGAAGGGACCGGAAACCCTTTTGCAA